CTTTTACTGTAATAAGAATGAGAAAATTTACCTGACCGTTTTCAAGAGGGGGTAAACGTTGAAGTTTGAAAAACTTAAAAGTTATTAAAAGACACCGCAGAAGTCAGGAAAACTCATTTCCCGCCATCTAGGAATCAAAATTTTCCCGCACCCCCTTTCATTTTGTGGGTTTGGAAACATTTTGACCCCCTCCCCTAAAATTGAACCCAGATCCGCCCCTGTGTTTTGCTTTATTATCAATTGTCTCACAGAAGTCAGTGCCAGAAATGGAGAAAAAAAGAAAATTATATTCAAATTTAAAGCTATTCTTCAGAGGAAAATTATTTTTGTAGTGTTGTAGAACTGATTGTACAACATATATAAAAACAAAAAAAATTCCTCCTAAGGAGCCTGGCATATACCTGTCTCTTATACACATCTAGATGTGTATAAGAGACAGTATATACACTACATATTATATTATGTATAGACCGAAGAGTGGCTTTGTTGTAATATTAATATGTTTTCGTTATATTTAGCTTGCCCACTCAACAGATATGGTGCAAACTGCCACCAAAGCTGCCCTGATGATGGCTGTAAGTGGCAATACTGTAAGGACAATGCGTTTGGCTGCAAATGTGGCAGTGGATTTACTGGCCCTGGCTGTGATGAGCGTAGGTTTATCGATTGTATAGTGAACTACTATTACTACCACTACTACTACTACTACTACTACTGCTACTACTACTACTAGTTTATGATTCGCGTATTGTACGCCCTCAAAACTTTACGGATTGTAATAGGCGCTATACCGGCTAAATATACGTTGTTTGTACAATAACCTGTCTTGTATATTTTTTTAATGACGGTCTAGGTTTTTAGCAGTAAGATAGTGTACACCATAACAAATACCTGCATCTTACTCACACTAGTTCCAATCAGCTATGCATTCTTATTATTATCTTATAACACATTATTATTATTATTATTATTATTATTATTATTATTATTATTATTATTATTTATTATTAATATTTCTTCTCATTTTAGCATGTTCTAAAGGCTATTATGGACCCGACTGCCGTGAATCGTGCAGTAATTGTATGAATGGAGCAAGTTGTGATAGTCAACGTGGATGTATATGTAAAGGCAATACTAAAGGCCCGACCTGTGCATTGCCGCGTATGTACAGTATTATGTTTTCAAATTATATATATGGCCTACATAAATACATACATACATATAAATATATTAACATGTTTATATACATATTTTCCAATAAAATATAGTTGCTGCATAGGCAGTCGTATATAAGTATAATCAATCAAACATAGTTATGTATCTGTCTCAATGTTTTTATTGTACTTTGGACCAAGCTCAACATAAGGCAATATATAATCAGCTATGGTCGGAGGTGCTCGTACAATAAATATTTTATTTTTGAGGTATATACAAAACTGTATTGTATTTACTATACACATTATATACATGCATGAAACGTGAAGTGATCTGTACCATGTCACTTTTTGAGATAGTTACCATATCGTCAGGCTGTATTTCATTGGGACCCTGATGAACATACAACTCTGGGTCTCGGTTAACCATTGACTCTACCTTTCAGTCACACGTCAATCAATAATAGGTCATTATTGGCACTTATATGTCGTATGTAATTCATATGAAAATACTGAAAAACGCCTCATACGACTTTTGTGTAACTCATTAGTGTAATTTTGTTTATTTCGTAACGCCTTTCGTCTTCCGACATAGCGCGTTTCACCTTTCTCTCGTCAGCCTGTGCGGTCTTCAGCGAAACTGTCTATTGACCCGTCTGTGAAATTTTCTGTTTCTTTATTTATGTTTCCTAGCAAAGTTGATTTCTATAGGTTTCCTCGCTGGTCTTTTAACTCTTCTGTTTGCTTCTCTGAGAGCTGTCTGTGAAGGAGTTTCTTGTTGGACACGAAGCATGTCAGGGCCGGCGGAACGTTTTTCAAAGTGGGGGGGGGCACTAACAATAGCAATTGCTGTCTCTTATACACATCTAGAGGGGGGGGGGGGCGAAGGTAATAATTTTCCCAGTTAGTAATTTATGACTTCGTGTGATACCCCACCCCATATAGAAAACAATACGACATGGCTTATTTTATTATTAATATAGGGCACACGTGTGTGTTTGAAACTAAATATAAGCATTTTCATCGTGGTTTTATTTATTAAAATTCATAGGCCTATTCTTTCACCATCATTACACATTGAGGCCCTTCTTTTAGGTAAAACGATTTATCTTAAATTTTCTTTCTCAAGTTTTGGGACTATTTACGGTACGGTATGTTTTTAAATAACTTAGAAGGCAAAGGAGGGCAAGCACAAGCTTTAAGCCTAACAAATGTTTGTTTTTTTTTTTTTCTAATTTCGTCGGAATTGATAAAAACTCCCTAATTGTGCAATTTTTAGAGGAAATTGGCCTACCTCAACAAGAAATGCTCTTATGTTATATATGGGCACACTCGTTTTTTTAAAACTGAATATAAGCATTTTCCTTATGTCTTTATTTATTACAAACATATTCTTTCAACATCATAACACATTGAGGCCCTCCATTTAGGTAAAACGATCTAGACCTATCTTAAATTTTCTTTCTTGAGTTTGGGACTATGTGTTATAACCTAGAAAGAAAAGGAGAGCAAGCACAAGCTTTAACATTAAAAAGTGCGCGAGAAGCGCGTGAAAAATGTTTGTTTTTTTAATTCTAATTTCGTCGGAATTGATCAAAACTCCCTAAAATGTGCAATTTTTAAAGGAAATTGGCCTACCTCAACAAGAAATGCTCTTATGTTATATATGGCCACACTCGTTTTTTTAAACTGAATATAAGCATTTTCCTTATGGCTTTATTTATTACAAACATATTCTTTCAACATCATTACACATTGAGGCCCTTCTTTAATAGGTAAAACGATCTATCTTAAATTTTCTTTCTTGAGTTTGGGACTATGTGTTATAACAGGCAAAGGGGAGCAAGCAAAAGCTTTAACATGAAAAACGTTTGTTTTAAAAATTCTAATTTCGTCGGAATTGATCAAAACTCCCTAAAATGTGCAATTTTTAGAGGAAATTAGTCTACCTCAACAAAATATGCGATTTAAAATTTGAGATTTTCAGGCACTTTCCCGGGTGAAAAGGGCATTCAATGGGGAAAGACTTTCCACAGATGGATATTTTCCCCTTGTCCCCTGGTGATTACGGTGTATACCACTGCGGAGAATACCTGGCGGCTTAGATCAAATGCGCTATGGACACTTTTTGAAGTGGAGAATGGGTTGCAGGCAGGGGTATTGTGATATCTGTTCATTATATCTTCCTTTTTATTCTTGTCGTTATTTTTCTCTTCTCTTTTCCTTTTTCCTTTCTTTTTCTTTCGATTTCTAGATGGCGGGAAATGAGCTTTCCCGACTTCTGAGGTGTCTTTTAATTACTTTTATGTTCTTCAAAATTCAAGGTTTTCCCATCTTGAAAACGGTCTGGTAATTTTTTCCCATTGTTATTACAGTAAATAGGGCTTATGTGTTATACATACATAACAATTTAAAAAAAAAACGAGTAGTTGCATACGAATTTTCCATGAATCGATAAATCCCAAAAAGAAAGGTGGCGGGGTGTGGGGGGAGGTCCTGTGGTTCTTCCCCGTGAAAATTTTGATTCCTGGGTGGCGGGAAATGAGCTTCCCCGACTTCTGTGGTGTCTTTTAATGACTTTTAAATTCTTCAAAATTCAAGGTCCCCACCCCCCTTGAAAATGATTAAATTGATCAATGAACTCCAAAGATAAAGGGTCCGGGTTCCCCGGAAAAATTTCGATTTCTAGATGGCGGGAGATGAGCTTACCTGACTTCTGAAATGTCTTTTAATGACTTTTAAAGTTCTTCAAAATTCAAGGTTTTCCCCTCTTTAAAAAGGTCAGGTAAATTTTTCTCATTTTTTATTTTATGTGTGTATACATACATTAACAAATGAGTAGTTGCATGCGTATTCTTTTTTCCATGAACCGATAAATCCCAAAAAGAAAGTGTGGTCCGGGGGTTCTCCCCCGGGAAAATTTTGATTCCTAGATGGCGGGAATTGAGCTTTCCCGACATTTGAAGTGTGTTTTAATGAATTTTATGTTCTTCAAAATTCTAATTTTCTAATAGCA